CATCCCTACCTCATACCTTCCTTTCTCCTCTCCACCCCTTTCATCCTTTTTGACAAAGAAAATCCAGAAAATCCAATCCTTAAATCATCTGCTTGATGAAGGAGGCAAAACAAAGACACCTGGAGATAATGTGATTGATGGACAAAAGCTAAAGCAATGGCTGCGGCTTCTTTTTTTTAAACGAATGGAACAGAGATAATTAGGGCAGCTGATGTTGCTAAAAGTCCCATATTTGAAATTAGATTCCCTAGGAGGTATAATATATATATTTCTTAAATAATAATGTGGTCGGAGAATTCCAATGTTATAGTGAAGTGTAATGAAAAACAACTTTAGGATGTGCTTTACTGCTGCAGAAGAGACAAACCTGCATTTATTTGTGCAGGAAACTACTTATTTACTTGTTCTAGAGCTTCAGCATTTAAAAATTACATGAAAGTCTACATCAACTGCAATGGCCCTGGCTAGAGAATCACTTGGAGGGGGACTTGGGAGTAAGACAGACATGTGTTTCTCACGAATCTCCAAGCCCAACTGAAAAGTCACACCGAAATGGGTACAAACAGCTGTCCACAATTTTATCAGTCCAATTGTGGTGACACTATGTTGTCCCCAGATCTTCTGAAATTTAAATTTGGCCATGAAAATTCCAGAAAGATTTCTCATTACTTTTAGCCACACCTACCTTAAAAATAATAGATTCATGATTTCCTTGAAAAATTTATTTTATAAATACTTTGTTTACTTTTTAGATTGTATTTGTCCTTAATTAAAAATGATGAATCTAGAGTGAATCAGCTGTTACTCCAAGCTATCATGCTTAAGCTATGTCAACAGCATTTATTTGTACTAATGCTAATGTTTCCATCAAAATTTGCCTGTGGAACATACACGGTTATTAATTTTAAAATGTCAGTTCTTGAGATATACTGTATGAAGCTATTGTCAGCTTCTCTATTTCAAAATGCAATCAGCATATAACTATATTGATATTAGAAACTATTTGTTTTTTTAAATATATTAATGTATGATAAAGATGATCTAATTTGTGAATGCATATGCGTGTGTGGTTACTTTTTATAATGTGAAATAATGAATAGTGAATTTACTTAAAATAAAACATAGGTTAATGAGATACCTGTGTTTGTGAAAAAAGTTTTAAATACTTTTCTGCAGTTTTTATTCTCTAATTAAAGAGGAAGACAGTTCATTTTTAAGTAATGAGCAACAGAAGCACGCCGACATCAGCTGTAAATTACTCAGGAACAGTTCCTCAGTGTGAAACTTTCACGCCATTTCTTTCCCCTTTTCCTTACAACTGGCCTCTTTTTGGCTAGTTTTAGTGATTCTTAATATCTTTCACTTAAGAATAGTTAGGTTAATGGACTTGTTCAACTACCCATTTGTCAATACTTAAAAATTGAGTAGGTATAAGAAGCTTCACCATATGGCCAATTTAGTACATTCTTTGTGGATTTCATTTAGCTATTTTAATGGTATCTCTACCAGCATCACTAACATGGACTTGAACGCATTGTGACCTGGGAGAGTGTTTGTGGTGCATAAATAGGACATGAGAGTGACATCAGTTTCCCAGCACTGTGATTCATAATCAGCATGGACAGTTACTTTAAATAAAATGGAGAATTTCAGTTTATTTGTTCAATAATAAATTTAGCAGAGTTGGGAACTATTGTTGCCTTTATGCATGTGAGAGAAAAGTGACTTGACAGAGGAAGGTCACTACTGCTTATACAGTTCAGGAATTTACAGAAGTAAGTGCAGTCTTACTCCAAGGCACTAACTTACCAATTAAGACAGTCAATCAAAATTATGCTCATAAGTTTTCTTTTTTTCTTTTATAGACCATGATCATTTCTAAAATCGTTGAAATATTTGTTAAAATTATATATCTTTCCAAGACCAGATATATAAAAATGGAGTAAAAACATGAATTGATGGCAGTGATGAATGTCCACGTATATCTAGATTTACACCAAAATAAGACTGGTACTCTTGTAAAAGTCCTTAATTTAACAACTTAACAGATAGTTCCTTTAAACTAGTCATAGGACAGAGAAAGCTCTCCACCTGTAACTGCCGGGAAATAGGGACATCACCTTCACCTGTCTGTTAACTGTGGAAACTTGCATTTTTAAGGAGACGTTCTGGAACTCCACAGGTTAGCATTACAAGAAAAGCACAGACCTGTAGAACTCAATTTTACTGGCAGAAGTGGAGATAGGGCTTAAAAGGATTTTTCTTCAGAGGTAAAATAAGGAGCTTATAGAGATTTTCTTCCACAACCTCAGACATATCTGAAAATCATTTCCATTATTTGACTTCCTGAGCTCAGACCCCGTACTCTGGAAGGGACGGGGCCGTTTTGCCTTGCAGTTGGTTGGCAAACATGAGATGTTTGAATTGAAATGAACAGGCTGTTCAGCTTGAGTAGGAGTTTTACAGCGAAGATAAAGGAATTAGATTAATTCAATAATCTGTTCTCAGCTATTATAGCATGTGAGAGATTGTGTGTATGTGGGTGTCTGTCTGTCTGCGTAGGAACAGTTTTGAAAACCTGACACTTAGATATAGCGAAGCCTTGTTATAATCAGATTTTCTCCTTCAGTTGAAACCCTGAGTTTTCTGTATCATTTATTACACTTTTCATTGGTCTGCATTTCTTCAGCATGTACATATGCTTGGAAAATCTGAAACCTAGTGTCTTGGGAACTTCTTCAAGCACATGTGGGGATATTAGAACTTCTGAAAAATAGAGACGAGGGCATTTTCTGCCTTAAAGAGCAATGTGTTAGGTACCATCGCTATGCCCCTACTGTTTCGCTGTGTGTGGGAGAGGAGGGGAGAGCTTGCTCTGCATGCTATCTGAATCCTTCAGTAGTAATGAACCTTTCCATAACTGGCTTTGGCCATATTTATTTCCAAGCATATTTTATTTTCATAGTCTATTTTTCCTAAATTTCATCTCTTAAAAGTGGGTAATTTGATTGAACTCCCTTTTAGTTCTCTTTCTAGTATTTTTCCACAAATAAACCTGATGAATGAATGCTAACAAGCCGCTGAGGATTGCCAGTTGGAGTTAGTCCTCTATTGTCTCTTTCTTGGTCCTAGAATTGCCTTTTCCTTACCATTGTCAGGTAGTGNTCGCTGAGGATTGCCAGTTGGAGTTAGTCCTCTATTGTCTCTCTTTCTTGGTCCTAGAATTGCCTTTTCCTTACCATTGTCAGGTAGTGGCCCTTGAAAGGAAGACAGGAAAGAATCAATGCCCAGGTTTAGAACGATGAAAGTCAGTCTTTATGCTGCTGCTTAATATTACTGCCTAGTCACATTAATATAGCACACAGCACTCTGATTTCAATTAATAGTTAAGATGACTAATCAATAAATTAATTTTAGGTATACAATTGGGTAGCACACAAAAATCCAATTAGGCATTTAGTTGACACAGCTGACGCTCCAAGGTTAGTTAGCTCTATTTGCGAGCCTCAGAATTTACTCCTAAAGTATCTTCTTGTCTCTGTAACAGAAAATGACTGCTTAAGAAAATGTCAGGCCTGGCCAGGCATGGCTCAGCGGTTGAGCGTCGACCTAGGATCCAGGCGATCAGGGTTCGGTTGCCGGTCAGGGCACATGCCCGGGTTGCGGGCTCGATCAATGACTGTCTCATCATTGATGTTTCTATCTCTCTCTCTCCCTCTCCTTTCCTCTCTCTGAAATCAATAAAGATGTATTAAAAAAAAAAAAAGTGTCAGGAGTGTTTGCTAGTTTCCTGCTAACGTTGCTGCAGAGCCCATGCTTCTATTCTGTTTAACCACAGAGGGTAAATGAGAGGTGAGCACATGCAGCCTGTCCAGATGGACCTCACCAGATACTTTAGATCGAAAGAAGGAAAAATGAAATATGCCTGGGGCCTGGAGTCCAGAGACCCTGCCATTGCCGCACTATGTGATTTATCCATTAGGTGCACTAGGCACAGTGTCTAAGGCCCAGGATACTTTTCGGGGCCCATGAAGGTGTTTCACTTCTTGCAATAAGCAAGTTACATATTTTAACTGCACTGATATAAAGACAAATACAGTGCATAATATATTCATTATTATACCAATGCAGTTAGTCATAAAATCTGATTTTTAAAAATATGTCTTGCCCGGCCGGGTGTGGCTCAGCGGTTGAGCGTCGACCTGGGATCCAGGCGATCGGGGTTCAATTCCCCGTCAGGGCACGTGCCTGGGTTGTGGGCTCAATCAATGACTCTCTCATCATTGATGTTTCTATCTCTCTCTCTCTCCCTCTCCTTTCCTCTCTCTGAAATCAATAAAGGGATATATTTAAATAAAATAAAATAATGAGAGTGATTCAAACATTTTAATAAAAAAATAAAAAAATATGTCTTTATTGATTTCAGAGAGGAAGGGAGAGAGGAAGAGAGAAACAGTCATTGATTAGCTGCCTCCTGCACGTCCCCTACTGGGGATTGAGTCCACAACCCAGGCATGTGCCCTGACCGGGAATCAAACTGTCATCTCCTGGATTCTAGGTCAATGCTCAACTGCTGAGCCACACCGGCTGGGCAATAAAATCTAGTTTTTAATATATGTATCTAATTTTTTATGGAGGAAAGACCCCAAAAGTGCCTGGGCCCATGAAAGTCATAATGTGATCCTGTCTCTGGTTCCCTATTTCCGTCTTTTGTGAAATTAAGGGGCTGAATGAGGTGACCTGTGGCTCAGTTAATGCCTCTGCAAAGTGATTTAATGCACCATGGTGTAGACTGGGCTGCATTGAGGTAGATGCTGGGATCAGGACGGACTATGGCTATGTTTTTCTAACTTTAGTTGACAGGAAATGATTCTGTTATAGAATACCAGAAAACACTTATTTTGCATCAGAGGGAAGTAAATAGAGTGAAGCACGTGACCCGTGGAGCGTGTGCATGTGTCTTCCTTGCAAAGGCTGCATCTGGAAAGAGTGTCCAGGTCTACTGTTTTCTTCTAAGTCCAGGTCCCCAACAAAAGGTATAGAGAGTCTCCCAAGCTGGTCTTTAGTCAACAACAAAGGCTCTAAGAAACAGACTTAAAATACCAAACAGACTGTACAAACATCTCCTTAAAGTAAGCTTGACTTTAATACTTGGCTTATCTAAGAGTGGCTCACACTAGCAAAGGACAGGAGCCACTCTCTCCCACCACCCAGAGCCAGTACCCTGCGTGAGCTCCCATACCTCACACTCAGCGTCCACGTGCACTGAGTACTCGTGCTTGTCATCAATCACAGGAGAGTTGGGTTCACCACCCTGCCCAGAAACAGAAGCATTCTAGAGCTTTCTTCATAGATCATGAAATGAAATGGTCGGTCCACCTTGATGATGGGAGGCATGGAATAAGCAATAATTTCTGACATGGTTCCCGCCACTGCCTCTGTTCCTTTTTCATCGACCTCAATCACTGCTCTTAGTAAAACCTGGAAGAGGAAACAATGTGGGTGGCAGTGGGGAGGAAGGAATTAATTGAGCCCCTTGATATTTTTTGCTGTGGTCCTACCCACAGGGCCATGCTCCTGGGAATTAGTGGTACAGGGCTCCTCTGTGCTGAGAGGAATGGTCTGAGGTTACACCAGGCACTTGCCTTGAAGCTCAAGACAACAGCAGGAGACCCCAGGACTCCAAATGTGAAGTACATTTTGGTGTGGGCTCAAGGACTCTGGCTGGCCAATCCATGCACACATGCGTCAGATCAGCAGATAGTTACTGAACATGTACTCTGTTCTTTTTTTAAAAAAATGCATCTTTATTGATTTCAGAGAGGGAGAAATGTCAATGATGAGAGTCATTGATGGGCTGCCTCTGCACGCCCCCTACTGGGGACTGAGCCCACAACCCGGACATGTGCCCTGACCAGGAATTGAACCACGATCTCCTGGATCCTAGGTCGATGCTCAACTGATGAGCCTCACTGGGCTGGGCTGTTCTGATTCCTGATTGGACATGGTGCTCTTCAGAAGGTTCTTAAGCTGCCTGGACCCCCTGAATTCTTTGGCCTTCCTTCTGGCAGGCAGGCTGGGGTGAGGGTTATGGCTAGTCTTCTGCTGCAGCTTCCCAGCACCTACTACTGCTCTGAGGAGTCCCTGGGGCAAGCCCTGGGGTCCCTGAGCTCTTCCTGAACTCTGGTTGCCTGTACACAGGCCACCTGTCATGGCTGGGAGGCCTTTTGTCCAGGAATCTCATGTTATGTGGGTGATATGCTAATATAATTATTATAAGAGGAGATAATGGAAACATCAATGTAAGAACTGAAGATTCCCTAATTTTCTACAGTGAAAATTTACTTCCCGGAGTAAACAGAGGGAGAATATTTAGTGGTTTGCAATTTAAACTGTAAAAGAGCATCATGCTTCAGCTTTCCGTGCGTTTGCAAATAGGAAGTCTTGCAGGTGCTGGTCTGTAGGATTGTCATGTTTATTTGTCTCACTTTCCCTGAGATGAAGCCTGGTTACCCTGCTGAGTCCTCTCAGGTGGGTGCCATTTTTAAGCTCTCGGAATTAGAAAATGCAATTCTGTGGGAAAATATTGACCAAACCCCACAGCTAAGAAAGGATATGGGAAGATGCAGCTGCCATTTGGAAACGTTGGAACATTTTCTGTTGCAGTAACCACCGGGGGGTTACTACTGGCATTAGTGAGCAGGCCCGGAGTGTTAGCCTGTTCCCTCTAACACACTGAGCTGCTCTGAACAACAGGCGACTGCTTCCCCTCAAAACCTGGAGGGCTTCCAGGAGAAAGCAGAGTAGCTGAAGAGATTCCTGTGACAGGTGACTAACCTTGCTCCAGTCGCTTTAGAGGCAGAACAAGGGCCAAAGAGTATGAGCTAGGGAGGGGTTTGGGTCTATATATATGAAAAAACCCAAATACAATTTTAGCCATTTGTGGATTGGGCTGCTTTTCAAAGAAGTGTTGAGTTCCCTGTCACTAGAAGCCTTAAAAAGAAAAAAAGAAAGAGGGGGAGGGAGGGAGGAAGAAAGGAAGGAGAGGAAAAACCGG